CCCACACGCTCTCCCTCACTCGTGTGCCATGTGGCGAGTATGCCTGCTCTCCCCTCCTTGCTTGGAGTCTTTCCTCCTGTGTTGAAGAGACTTACTGGCATGAGCCTCCCTCCAGCCCCACACTCTCTCCCTCACTCATGTGGCATGCGCTGAGCATGCCTGCTCTCCCCTCCCCGCCGCTTGGGATGCGACCCCCAGATTGAAAAACACCGCTCTACCTTCTCCTTATTGTCTTCTAGCCACTTGTGCAGTGTGTTGAGGACAACGTCGGCAGCGGCATCATTTGGGTATCCTTTGAAAAATGTAAACAATGAGAAGTCTCAAAGAACAGTAGATCATGTGGTCCCGCCCCATGGTAGAGGATTGGACCCTCTTCCCCATCTGTACTTACCAAATACACCTGTCGAAATGCATGGGAAGGCCTGAGGAAACACAGTAAGACAAGGGTGTTAGGGAGAACCTGCATAGACACCATTACTCCTGCCTCTTGAGGCTCAACATTCTCCAGTAGCAGGTTCGGAACATCAGTAGACATATCTTGAAACCGGATAACAAATCATTAATGGGTGTCTCCTTGTCAACAGGCCTCCCCATAGGGCCCCACGTGCCTTCTTGCCTATCATCAGCATCATTACAATTATTAACTTTGCTTGCTGTGAGTTTTCCAGGCTGTCTGGCCATGTTCCAGAAGCATTCTCTCCTGATGTTTCACCCACAACTATGGCAGGCATCTTCAGAGGTTGTGAGGTCTGTTGGAAACCAGGCAAGTGGGGTTTCCATATCTGTGGAATGATGTCCAAGGTGGGAGGAAGAACTCTTGTCTGTGTGAGGCAAGTGTGAATGTTGCAATTGTAATTGCTTGAGGCATGTATGAATGTTGCAATTGGGGCAAGTGTGAATGTTGCAATTGGGGCAAGTGTGAATGTTGCAATTGCAATTGCTTGAGGCAAGTGTGAATGTTGTAATTGGGGCAAGTGAGAATGTTGCAATTGCAGTTGCTTGAGACAAATTTGAATGTTGCAATTGGGGCAAGTGTGAATGTTGCAATTGCAATTGCTTGAGGCAAGTGTGAATGTTGCAATTGGGGCAAGTGTGAATGTTGCAATTGCAATTGCTTGAGGCAAGTGTGGATGTTGCAGTTGCAATTGCTTGAGGCAAGTGTGAATGTTGCAATTAGGGCAAATGTGAATGTTGCAATTGGGGCAAGTATGAATGTTGCAACTGCAATTGCTTGAAGCAAGTGTGAATGTTGCAATTGGGGCAAGTGTGAATGTTGCAATTGCTTGAGGCAAGTGTGAATGTTGTAATGCAATTGCTTGAGGCAAATGTGAATGTTGGAATTGTGGCAAGTGTGAATGTTGCAATTGGGGCAAGTGTGAATGTTGGAATTGTGGCAAGTGTGAATGTTGCAATTGGGGCAAATGTGAATGTTGGAATTGTGGCAAGTGTGAATGTTGCAATTGGGGCAAGTGTGAATGTTGCAACTGTAATTGCTTGAGGCAAGTGTGGATGTTGCAATTGGGGCAAGTGTGAATGTTGCAATTGCAATGGCTTGAGGCAAGTGTGGATGTTGCAATTGGGGCAAGTGTGAATGTTGCAACTGCAATTGCTTGAGGCAAATGTGAATGTTGTAATGCAATTGCTTGAGGCAAGTGTGAATGTTGCAATTGGGGCAAGTGTGAATGTTGCAATTGCTTGAGGCAAATGTGAATGTTGTAATACAATTGCTTGAGGCAAATGTGAATGTTGCAATTGTGGCAAGTGTGAATGTTGCAATTGGGGCAAGTGTGAATGTTGCAACTGTAATTGCTTGAGGCAAGTGTGAATGTTGCAATTCGCGCAATTGTGAATGTTGTAATTGGGGCAAGTGTGAATGTTGCAATTGGGGCAAGTGTGCATGTTGCAAATGCAATTGCTTGAGGCAAGTGTGAATGCTGCAATTGGCCACCTTGATCAGCATTGAATTGCCTTGCAGCTTCAAACCCTGGCTGGTTGCTGCCTGGGGGAGTCCTTTGGTGGGAGCAAACTGCTTCTGGAGCATGTCCGTACAGTCCGGAAAACTCACAGCAACCCAGTGATTCCAGCCATGAAAACTTTCGACAACACATTATGAACCTTATTTAATTAACTGCCTTTGTCCCTGTCGGGACTCAAGGCAGCTAGCAAGCACACCATCTAATAACATTGTAAAACACAACAAAAATAAAAACAATTATGTGTGGATATTAAGTTAACACACAGGTAAAAACAATTAACATTCCTATAGAAAGGTCTTTGGGAGGAATTTGTTAGGTCATCCAGGGAGATCAGAGGCGTAAGTCTTCCAAAGACAACCCCATGATCCCCACACTCACTAACCACGGTCCGCAGCTTGTTCTCCACGGCGAGCTTCAGGCTGTTTTTGTAGCAGTTGCCGAGCTCCTCTTCTTGGCTGGCGCTGGGCTCTCCCTGGGCAATGGGCCCCACGGTGTGGATGATGACTGGGGGGAGAGGAGAGGCATAGGGTCAGGCCATCGCCCACAAACAAGCATCGCAAAGCCCTGTTCACAGTCCAGCCTTTCAAGAAACATACTCCATAAACTATTAAGCGATCACAACTTAAAGGTAAAGATTTCCCCTTGACATTAAGTCTAGGTGTGTCTGATTGCATATTGGTGCAGAACCTGAAGAGCCGGTGCTGTCCATAGACACCTCCAAGGTAATGTGGCCGGCATGACTGCATGGAGTGCGGTACCTATTGATCTACTCACATTTGCATGTTTTCGAATTGCTAAGATCATAGAATCATAGAATCCTAGAGTTGGAAGAGACCTCCTGGGCCATCCAGTCCAACCCCATTCTGCCAAGAAGCAGGAATATTGCATTCAAATCACCCCTGACAGATGGCCATCCAGCCTCTGTTTCAAAGCTTCCAAAGAAGGAGCCTCCACCACACTCCGGGGCAGAGAGTTCCACTGCTGAACGGCTCTCACAGTCAGGAAGTTCTTCCTCATGTTCAGGTGGAACACCCTCTCTTGTAGTTTGAAGCCATTGTTCCATTGCGTCCTAGTCTCCAGGGCAGCAGAAAACAAGCTTGCTCCCTCCTCCCTGTGGCTTCCTCTCACATATTTATACATGGCTATCATATCCCCTCTCAGCCTTCTTTTCTTTAGGCTAAACATGCCCAGTTCCTTAAGCCGCTCCTCGTAGGGCTTGTTCTCCAGACCCTTGATCATTTTAGTCACCTTCCTCTGGATACATTCCAGCTTGTCAATATCTCTCTTGAATTGTGGTGCCCAGAATTGGACACAATATTCCAGGTGTGGTCTAACCAAAGTGGAATAGAGGGGTAGCATGACTTCCTTAGATCTAGACACTATGCTCCTCTTGATGCAGGCCAAAATCCCATTGGCTTTTTTTGCCGCCACATCACATTGTTGGCTCATGTTTAACTTGTTGTCCACGAGGACTCCAAGATCTTTTTCACACGTACTGCTCTCGAGCCAGGCATTGTCCCCCATTCTGTATCTTTGCATTTCGTTTTTCCTGCCAAAGTGGAGTATCTTGCATTTGTCACTGTTGAACTTCATTTTGTTAGTTTTGGCCAATCATCTCTCTAATCTGTCAAGATCGTTTTGAATCCTGCTCCTGTCCTCTGGAGTATTGGCTATCTCTCTCAATTTGGCAGAAGTTGGCTAACAGTGGGAGCGCACAATTGAAGAAGGCACCATAATTGAAGGGAGATATTGACAAGCTGGAATGTGTCCAGAGGAGGGCAACTCAAATGATCAAGGGTCTGATGAACAAGTCCTATGAGGAGTGGCTTAAAGAGCTGAGCATGTTTAGAAGAACACTGAAGCATCATCAAATGCACTGTTAAGGCATAGTGTGTGTGTATATATGTATATATGTGTGGACACCAGAGGGCGGTGCTGAGCCACCATTCAGCCCTAAGACAGCCAGAGGTTTGGCTCACTGTGTGCTTGCCAGTCTGCCCTGATTTAATGGCACGATGAACGTGCCATACCAACACTTTTTCACTATCCGAGCTCTGGGAGAACAGGGCCAGTCATGGAGAAGAGGGATTGCGCCCAAAGAGGGGCTGAAGCATCCACACGGCACATCTTGGCCAAACTGGAGATGCATCTCCCAAGCTGTGATGGAGCGTTGTTTACAACGGTGGTCTCAAAGCAGGGCTAGCAAGCGCCTTCTCCTCTTGGCCCAGCTCTAGTTGCCCCTTGTTTTCGCCAAGATTGTCTGGTTTGTCTAATATGGAACATGCAACATATCATTGTCCTTCTTAAGGGTTCCCTTTCAAATCTAGGATACTATATCTCTCTGTGTGTGAATCATATCTATCTATATCTACGGCTGAATGGCTCTTTGCCAAGAGGGCTTTGATTATGTTGAAGGGAGTTGGACTCGATGGCCTTAAGTATTTTCTGTTGGTCATGGGGGTTCTGTGTAGGAAGTTTGCCCCAATTCTCTCATTCTTGGGGTTCAGCATGCTCTTTGATTGTAGGTGAACTATAAATCCCAGCAACTACAACTCCCAAATGTCAAGACCTAATTCCCCCAAACTCCTTCTGTGTTCACATTAGGGCATATGGAGTATTTATGCCAAGTTTGGTCCTGATCCATTTTGTTTAAGTCCACAGTGTTCTATGGATGTAAGTGAACTACAACTCCCAAACTCAAGGTCAGTGCCCACCAAACCCTTCTAGTGTTTTCTGTTGGTCATGGGAGTCCCTGTGGACCAAGATTGGTTTAATTCCATCATTGCTAGCATTTGGAATGCTCTTTGATTGTGGGTGAACTATAAATCCCAGCAACTACAACTCCCAAATGTCAAGGCCTAATTCCCCCAAACTCCTTCTGTATTCACATTTGGGCATATGGAGTATTTGTGCCAAGTTTGGTCCTCATCCATCATTGATTAAGTCCATAATGCTCTCTGGATGTAAGTGAACTACAACTCCCAAACTCAAGGTCAGTGCCCACCAAACCCTTCTAGTGTTTTCTGTTGG